TAATACCGACGGGGAAGTTTAGTTACCACCTTCCTTCTGTTCGAATGATATCATTGTCCTACATGTGTAGCTTATGTAGCCTTGTTCGGTATGTAAATAAGTCCCGATAGAGTACGTTGGCAGTTTTTCCCCTCCCGTGAAATTGACCGCCCCAATCTATCCATACGGACGAGTTGTGCCCAAGCAAGAAAATGTTACAGTTAGAATACGTGTACATACCCACCGTGTTAAAGGACTTGTCCCCATGAACGTGTTTGTTCCTCCACTCAAAGCCGAAGATTTTCAGTTATCATGGAAATTGAGGCAGCGCCGGAAAACGGACAGAGAAATCCTGTTTGGACCTCAAACATATGAAGTTATTTACCTTGTGAGAGGTATTCATTTCAAAATTGCATTAATAAGCTGCGAGCAGAAATTGATGAAAGCTAGTCAAATAAACCCACAAAATCCCCCATCCATTTTTTAGAAGGTGACTCATTGTACCGCCGCTGTAGTTGCTCATTTTGTTTGTATTTAGTTTCCGTGGGAAAGTATTCATAATAAACAGGAAACGATCGTGAGTGCTATCCGCGCTGCCCTGTTTTTCGCAACCCACTCCCTTGCAGTGTCAAATTTTCATCCTTCCATAAGAGGAAACCTAAGAGATTGGGGCGTAGACATTTTAGACTCCTCGAGGAATATTTCCGACAGCATTCAGTAAGATGGGATTGACCGGGAAAACCTACTGTCCGTTTCGACTTGAAGGCAATTTTGATGAGAGAACTTCAACCGCATTCTTCGTCCGCGAGAGGGCACCGTCATCGCAGCTGCAGATAAATTGGAGCACAAACCCAGATGACTCACACGATTGATGATACAACCCACCCCAACAACCGAAGCAAGAACAAGAAACACGTCTTCGTCAATTTCAAAACATACTAGTAACTGACCACATGATTGACCAATCCTCATTATTCACCATTTTGTTATTCAATGCTGTTGGCCTTTCGTGAAGCCCCGTTCAGCATGATTCCCAATACGCCACTAAATACCCAGAAGAAACTAACCAATGACATTTGCTCGCTTTGGTACTGGATCCCATTGTCAGTCTTCCTCCCCCTCACGATTACTTCTCTCTTTGTCGCTGGACATTCACAACCATGCACTGTTGTTTACGGTGTACTACACATGAATGGTATATTTTGTGTAGCGACCGAACAATGTAGATGAAATACTGGTCTCACGACTGATGTCTTCTTTTTTCTGTGCTGTTCAATTTGAGAGAGAACCCATGGTTTCATAAAATGAACAGTTTTCCACACCTTGAAAGTAATTTTTGCTACAGTCCACTGACTTCATGATGTCTGGATACTCATTAGTGCAACTGGGACCTACGCTGCAACTAGTTCACGTTTGTCGGTCTACCATCCATTACTACATGTAAAAACTTACTGTGAACAGTTCTAAAGTTGCAAGACTGAGATAACAATCGAATCGAGCGTCCACTAACTGAAATCTAGACGCACAAGAAGATGCAACTGTATAGCGGTGTTTTCCATTACGGCATTTAAGGTGTAACTTCGAACTATTACAGCGTAAATTACGGAGCAAGTATACCGACAAACGCTTATACCAAAGTCACTGAAGCAGACGTGAGCGCGACTCTGACTGAAACACTAGCGGAACGAAGACCAAAACATATTCGTCCACAAGCCTGGTAGACTATTGATTATTTGTAGAGATCCTCTCTTTTAACTCGGTTTGCTATTGATTCTTAAAACCACCGAAAATATGCTCGATTGACTGACTACTGGTCAGAACATAAATCATCCATGATAAACAGCGGAGATTCCTTTATGATGGTTCGCATTTTTCAAAGGAAACCCTGGCGTTTAGAGTGCAATATCCAGTGTGTTCTCCCAGACTGCCACGTACCATCTTGAAACATGCACTGCGTTGCATTTTCTCGGCACCGTATCAACATCCATGAGTCACTTGTTTTTTATATAAAAGAGAACATATGAAAGATTCTCTTCACCAATATTTTTTAAATCAACGAAAGGACGTATATTGATTTAAACATTCTTTCGCCAAGTAATCCACCAGTATTTGCGTATTATCTTAAATGCAGACAAAACGTACTATGATGTATTCAGAAAATCCCCGAAGAAACTATTTGCGTCCTTCCCCCACATACGGTCACGGTTGACTGTCCCATTCCTGTGAAAAAGACCAAAACCGAGCGCAAAATATGAGGAACAAATTCGATAACGCAGCGTAGATTACAGTAAACAAATAAGAAACTCGGCTTCCACTATTGTGGAACATCCCAATCCTGATTTGACCCGGGTGTTGAAAGTCACGTACTCTCTCTGCGACCTAAAATTGTTGGCATTCTGAACATAGGAAAGACAACTGCACACGAAAGCTAATGCCCCACAATACCAGCCTATTACCACCGGGCATCTTATATTCCACAGATCTCAGTAAGCCCGCTTTTACAGTTATTCTCGTTCTGTGACAATTTGAAGAAATCTGATTGGTGCGTCGTTATTTCGTCCTCATGCCTACGCGCGTCGTCCCGCCATCATAGAACACACTCCGACTGTTTTTATGCAATTGTGTTCTATTTTTCGTGTTATTTTTGGGGGCTGAGCAAGATGCGCTCGTTTCAATCATACGTCTGGGCCGAACTTAACTCGAAAGCCTCAGGATAGCCACGGATGGGTCTCTGGTCAACCTTCCCTTACATCCTTTCCCTTCCATGTGTGAACAATCCTTTTCCCGGTTCACCATCTATTATTTCGAGTCGCCAAAGGTGTGCTGCCCAAGACAGCAGAAGGCACAACCTTATTAATATGCGAAAGAAACATTCACCCGCTCAGGTCGTTCGGAAAACAGTACTCGAACCTGGATCGTAGCTAAAGTTAGCTACCGTCAACGTTCGAACGCTTATGCAAGTTTTGACCGGGAAAAACTAGCCTGCACATTGGAAACCCTTGACATGGACATTCGCTGCCTTACTGAGACGCGCCTACAGTATTCGAGCATCGTACTGCACCCTGTTCCACAAGCTCGTTCAACCTCTGCTTCTCCGGGGATCCAATCGCAGAGGCCGCTGATCAGGCTGCAGGCCCGATGCAACAAAAGACCAGTTCTACCATCGGCTCACCAATCCCCCAGTAGACGACACGCTGACATTGTGGTACTGGCCAGAGACTTGAACGAGCAAGTAGGCAAGTTAGACACTGGGGGTCAGCACAGCCTCGGGGGTAAGAAAACTGCCAACGGCGACCGTTTACTGCAAATCTGAGCTGATAATGGTCAATTCCTTTTCAACACCAATTTCCAAAGACTATGGCACAAATGTGCTACCTGGCGACCTCCACCGTCCGATCAGCTTTGGACTCAAGTAGATCGCATTGCTATCAGTTATCGACGGATAGATTGCATAACAGACCGAAAAACCATCTAGAGCACTGCCACAACTTCGATCATGCACTGGCATGCGCGAAAGTCTCTGCGCTTTCGTGGGGAACAGCATCGTCACACGAGAAGACTCAATCTGATGAAACTAGTCGACCCAAAACACGCTAGCTGTTGGTCTATACAGCCCGTCACCCTCGAACTTTGATAGCCAGTAGGCTCACATACGTAACGCCATGTGTAAGTCTGCCACCACAGTATGTGGCTTTAGCAAACGCACCGTCAGGCACTGGGTTTCCGCATGTTCTCTCGAACTGTTTGACACCCGTCGCAAAATCCCTCCTGGTAATGAATACAACACAGTTCGTAGGACTCTCCCGAGATGAGTAACCCTAGTGCACTCATTGGCCTATCTTACGTAGGTATAGACATAGCAGTTTTGATCACTAGGCCACATTCGTCGATCAATGAATTCCTTTTCAACTTTACCTACTTGATCCTTTTGTGACGAGTCGCGGGGGAAAGGTGTTTAGTGGGATAGAAATTAACAGTTCGGACACGCAATCAACACAATAGATAACTACAAGACCAACTCCTTACTCAGTTTTCCTTAAGATGATTACACGGTGACGCTGTAGTTCTTTTAACGCTCTGATGTGCTTTTACGTCAAGGGCCCTTCGTTACGAAAATCATAACATGCTGTGGTTTGAGGCCCGGTATTGCATACGTAAACATCCCTCTTTCCGGTTTCATATGCAGTGGTACATATTTGAGAAAAAATTCACCGAAAGCATATTTTTGCCTACATTGTGTTCATGAACAACAAGCATATCCTGCAATTTGGAGCGGTATATAGCATTGTCGACTAATTAACGGAATTCGGCTCAAGATCCAGTGTAACATTGAAATTGTTGTTAGTAGTTGTCGCCGAAACATTTAACACTTTATCGACGCATCTGAGTGGGCTGATCAGTGCAATAGAGGATGCTCACCAAAAACGTATGATTCGGTTAACTAAGCCCAACCCCTGTGTGGTGCATAACATGAAGTCCGTGGACCGAACATGAATAACTTTATCATGAATCGACGTTCACCTAGCCGGTTGCTTTTCAGTTTCAAGCCTAACAGACGTTTAATAAACCTGTCAAACACCACGATATCCCTAGCCAGAATTAAGTGTCCTTATAAAGAACGAATATCTGGAAAGCGGTTCCGAATCTTCGGAGAGGATGCTGATGACGGGGCTCAGGCTATCTGCAGTAATCATGCGACTTTTCGCGTACAGCATATTTCTAAATTTTGTAGCTATATGAATAAAATTGGTTTGCCAACTTTTATTATCTAAACGATAACATATTAAACCCAGTGGTACCATTCTGGTGATCGAGGAGAAACAGCAAATTCACCGTACATCGTTTATTACAGTAAAATAACCAACCAAGTAATAAAGTTCAGGTAAATTCAGAAATCAGTTTTGGGGTAAAATAAATGCTGCTTCTACGTGCGAGTAAGGTGAACATGTGCGGAATGGACAGGAGACTTTCCAGGACGTAAACGAGCAAACACCAACTACCATACGACAGCCGCCAACCACTCATTCCACAGACATATTGTTCGCGAGGTGCAACAGAATTTCCACTGCCATATCTTTGCAACGATACGCCAAAAAGCCATCCGTATTGCAATAGAAGGAATTGTCCTAGGGAATGTATTATCCGAAGGACAGATCAAAAGGTGTTCCGAAATAGCAACAGGTTACTCATTAGTAGTATAAATGGTGACCAAAAAGATCTCGAAACTTACCGGGAGTGCAAAGACATGGAGATGCAATCACACAAATCGCTAGTATTAGTAACTGATAAATCCATGGTTTAACGACTCATGGCAGCTCTGTGAGCGACCACTTTCGCTCTCGCGAAAATTGATTGCACATTTTACGAAAGGTGGTAGAAAATTAAATTCGAAAAAGCGATGCTTCGATAACGGACGCTATGAACCAGAGGGAAACGTTTTAAAGAACTGATTCACTTACGCGCTAGTAGCCTGATTCTGCTAACTAAAACGTGATCGTAAGATGCTGGGACGTCTGAGCTTACAGTATTTTTCGCCCTAGTTCACTACGGAAAGTGGTGTTCGTCAAAGTTGCCCTCTACCAGTTTCAATTTGACTTTATCATACATCTAATTATTTAAACAGCCCTATCCTCCTGCGAGGATAGCGGAATCAATTTGATCCCAGGAGGCAGATTGTCTAATCTGGAGTATGTAGACGACATTGTGCTACTAACTGAGGTAAGTAAGTATGTGAGGCAGGTAGGTTCCGAGCTTTCCTGGATAGTTTGAGTGCTAGTGTATCCGTTTGGTATGCGTTTTGTACCTTCAAAATGTAGCATATTGCTATAAGACTGGGTTGGTCCAGCCCCCAACCGCACCCTGACTGAAGAGATAATAGAGGGGGTAGAATAATTTTGCTATCTGGGCAGCTATACCTTACCTGGCGGACGCGTGACAAATCAAGTGTCGCCACACACAGAAGGCTCGGTTGGCATTTGCCAACTTGAGACATCTGCGGCGCCGTCGCGACATCCGGCTGTCCGTGAGGGTCGAGTATATGCTGCAGCAGTTCGGCCAGTGCTGCTACGCGGTACAGAGACTTGGTCATTACGGAAGAGAATAAAGATAGATTGTTGATGTTCGAACACAGCTGTCTGCGTAGCATTGCACGGAAACCGGACGAGAAATGATGAGGTTAGACGTAGAGTTTTAGGTAATCGCGGTCGTCCACGGGAGCAAGTAGTCGACTTCCATAGATTACGTTGGTTAGGACGTGTTGCACATGTCACCAGATAGTTTGCCACGGCGAGCGATGTTTGCCGAGGCAGGCAGTGGATGGAGAAAGGTCAACGGCGGTCAAACTAAGACCTTGCATGTGGGTATGAAAAGCCTAACTAGAAGACTGAGTCACATAGGTCGTGTTAGTGTCCACGGATCGGGACCCCGAGATTACAGTAACCCGTGGTTAGAGAAGCTGATGGGCGCAAACAGTGGCGCTCATGTATCTACGCACTATTCTAGTCTATATGAATTGTCCATCTTCCTCTTGAATTTGCTCTCAAAACTCCAAATAATATCCTGCTCTTTTATACAAATGGGCGACCAAAAGACAAGAACCAAAACCGGCGTATGAAAGTGTATGGTTAGTGGTTGTAAAAACTGAAACTGAAAAAGGATTTCATTTAGTACCGTCGAAGTCGAGGATACTGGATTCAGATGCGTCAAACACTACAGAACCCAGACCATCCAGCTCGTCCACTACCCATGTTTTTGCCTAACATCCACTTCAGGGGACGTCATTTCAAGTCAGTGCTTCCAATGTGTTGAATGGAATGCCGATGTCAGTCTTTTACCGTCAGAGCGTGAACCGCGGGGAACACTCTCACTTCACGTCCTTTTTGCGCCAATTTTCGAATCTTTCAAGCGGAGACTTGATGAAACCCTAACACACCTCACATTCCTACAGATAAAACGAAAATTAACTGAGGACCATATTATGTGCTACCTACCCGTGACTGTACGGGACATTAATTTTTGCTGAAATTTAATTGCGTAAATATCCTATGGGGACAGGAGAAGCAAGAGCTTGTAACAGATATAAACCTTTGACCAAGCATAAACTTAACCCAAAAAATCAAAGGGGTTATTTTTGTCAGATAAATCTAGCAGTAAATATAGGTATTCGCAATGCCCAGTTTAATGTTGATAGTAAAACTAACCAATAGATAAGAAATGTTGATGAAACCGGTGTGAGGGTGCACATTCAGACTAGGAACAAAGAGGGACATCCCAAGTGGGTGTGTACTGTTGGTGATATTTTACTTGTCCGTATTTTCATTCAACCTGAAATGCACAGTGAAGGGGTATATGAAAAGGTAATTGAACTGTATGCCTTGCAGTACCACTGATGACATCTGACGGCGATAATGTAGCGAAAGTGTGCGAGTAAAGTCAAATCACACACTTCCCGAAGTTGACAAAATTCTTAAATAAAGAGGAACACAAAAACCCAGTGGCATAATAAACATGTTTCTAAGTTAGTGGTGAACATGAAACACTTACACCTTTGGTATGAGTGCCCGATTTCTCCAGATAGCGAATTTGAAATTTGTGTAACCGCGAAAGCAGTTTGGATTTGACACTATCCACACGGTCACCAACGTCAGATGCATCCAACAGTCTTTGAACGAAATGAATCGCTGGACGTAGACGTACCACACCACCGTTCAACGCATTCAAAATGGCATGTGGAGCGCATGTATCCCACCAATAGGTATTTGGCTAAAAAGGCATATGCCAACGTGGATGAGTTCCAGTTCTGACAAAAACACGTGTTGAACATGCATTAGTTGGAAATGAAATNATAACGTGTAGATGAAACAATGCAGAGAGATTACGGATGTGGCTGGAGTGAAATAGGAAGCGCGTAGATAACCTCCATCAGATAAAAACCATGACACGCTAATGACAAGCTGCTCTATGTTACCAGTTGCAAGCGGGCAAGCGCCACATTTAGTTAGTTTTTTTTATTACGGACGTTAATTCCGCTACTTGTTCCCAATGTTTATCATTTTGTACTGTTTATTAATAACGGAATATAAATTTGCCGTCCGGCGTATACTTTATGTACCGAAGAAATTGAAATTTTTTATGAAGCCCTTAGCTTAATATTAGTAAACGGAATCCGGTATACAGCCTTTTTTCGCTTCCAAGTGTCTACTTATCCCGAAACCACTAACATTTCTTCAGGGGATTTTTCCTCGCCCCGATTACCGCATATTTACTCCGGATATTCCTCCATTCCTTTGCAACGTTGAGCTAACCAGAGAATTGAGTATACGGTGTCTACCAGAATACACAGCTGTTTAGTTACAATAATCACATCATTACCAACCCACTCGATGAAAACACGAATGAACCAAGTGGAACACAGTGAGAACAAGAGAAAAAAAATCGTATTCAAAGAAAATCACGTAATCTTAAATAAGTGAAATATCTGTTATGGGGTATACTCAGTAATTCAAACTGATTGCTCATTGTGCAATCTATCAATGATTTCCTGGTGAAAAATGTGCATTATTAGCATCTGTAGACATCCATTTGTTCGTTCGCTTTTTTGCCAGTGTATACTCAAACCGATCGATACATTCATAATGGCTAGTGTTGGTAAACATAAGTGACGGATTAAATTCAACAGGTGATTCACAAATTAGATCCGGGTTACAATGACTTTTGGCCAATGACCTGTCTAATTCCATCGGTGCTCTAGCAAGGACAAATACGATTGTCGTTCATTCAATCGTACAAGCGCGTCCGAGCGACGGCTTAGATCTGGCATCTTAATCCACATCCGCTTCCCAGTCAATCGCGATTATCGTTTATCCGTTTGCATGTCAGTGCGACAGAGCCCACTGATAGACCGAATGGCTGTAACTTTGGTGACCACAGTAACAAAACTGATCACATTCGAATGCCCCACAGAATCGAGGAAAAGAAATCCTTTGCAGAGTACAAAGATGAATTTTGAGCAAAATCATAAATCGTCGTTTGTTTCAGCTTGGCTCTCCTTTGGAAAATCAGTAAACGCGCTGTTTAAACCCATTGGACAGTCCAGTAATCGACCCGAAATCCGAGCACTGGCCAAGGCAAACAGCTTCAATTGATCTACTAGCTTCTGCATTTCCTTAATTGCAATAACTTCCCGCGCATTCATTGCTTCATATTCGTCTTCTTCTTTGCGACGCTTAGCTTGATTTGAAACGAGTTCCTCTCATCACTAAAAGAGACCTGACACAAAAAATAACCCACTTCTTCATTAGCAAATTCTAAACAGGCGATTTCTTCATCAAAAAGACGTAACTAAATAGACACATGAGTAGGGTATTCAATCCGATCGCATTTATCTTCTGATGACTGCATCATCCGCTGATTCAATGTGGACTTGAACCCACCTTTTATGAAAGCGTTGATCGGTACATGCGGACCCACAGCCACCCAAGCTTCTTGGCTAGATGCATGTCCACCTCGGCTTTCATGTTAAGTTGCTCATCCTCGATCAAAGACAAAACCTACTCCAGTAAACATTTCCGAAACGACAATTTGAAAGACCAAATCGCATCCTGATTAATGGGTTGTTGAAGTTCAGAGGCAGCCGTATCAAGTTGAGATTGGAGAATACTGCGACTTTGTTATGTTAATGGGCTTCATCTATAAATAATAAAATCGTGTCTCTGAGAAGCCATCTTGCGGTTGACAACGGATAGCCAACCGGGAAATAACGCAAAGTCACCAATGCGTTTTTGAAGAACTATAAGCGCAAGAAAGGCTGTTTCTGTTTTTACATCGGAGACATCATGCAGTTCGAAATTTTCCAATAACGAATGGTGATAACTCCGGTCAGGCTCCCCCAAAGCAGTAACGTGACTTGGATTTCCTGGATCCAGAAACTGTCTTTGTTCCTTTAAGACTTAAGGCTCTTTTTGGGAGCTGCTTGTAATGCAAAGCTGCTTCATCTGCACTGAAAATATCCGTTAGAGCACATCCATAGATCAAGTGCGGTAACCCCTCTCGAAACTCGTCCACTGCATTATGTGGCACTGAAAATTTTTTCCCATAAACCTATAAAGTAGTGCACATGACTAGTTGCTTGTCTCTTACTTTGTAGGGTTGAATACTACATCTGTTTCGCCAAAGACGAAACCGACCTTTGGAAGCCTTGAAGTCACGGTGATGCATTCCTTGTGCTAGTTAAACTGCTTCCTTACAAAGGATGCTCTCCACCATGAAGAACTCTCCGCGCTTTTCCGACATAGCAGTAGACCAAGCCAACGTTGCCTCATCCACTGTCTTGAACTTTTCGTTAGTTTTCAGTTGGCATCTTTTCTGAGATGCTCCGGTGTTCTCCGATTGTTGTTCGAGACATCTGTGGTGCCGTCGCGACATCCGGCTGTCTGTGAAGGGTCGAGTGTATGCCGCGACAGTTCGGCCAGTTCTGCTATACGGTGCAGAAACTTGGCCATTAAGAAAACAGGATAAAGACAAACTGTCGGTGTTTGAGCACCGCTGTCTACGCAGCATTGCACGAATCTGGTGGGGTAGCCGGGTGAGCAATGCTGAGGTTAGGGGCAGAGTTTTGGGTAAATACGGTCGCCCACTGGAGCAAGTGGTCGACCTCCATAGATTACGTTGGCTGGGACATGTGTTACGCATGTCACCAGGT